GTTAACAGCAAACATCAACAAGCAGTGCTTCAAATATTAGCAGCTCTTTGTTAAATTCACAAAAACGTGACAACAGCCTTACGCCCAATAATGCAACCACACCCACATCATCGTCCTCGTCGTCGGTTAGCTTCATTATCTGCTTCAAACTCTTCCTCTAATACACCATCGATGGTGCCATCTTCCGTCACAACTGTAACGTCCTCAAATGCGGCTAATGCCTCAGCTACACTCGGGAATCGAATCACCATCTTCATCATTCTCTCATCAGCAGCAGCAGCAATCATTGCAACAACACAACAGCAACATTCTTCACACCAATTATCCTCCTCCTCATCCTCGTCGTCATCGTCCCAACAGCATCAGCAGCAAAAAACATGCGCATGCCGCTTCAACTGGTAATTTAGAGAATTCAACAAAATTAAGCGCTATGGGCGCTATGCAATCCAGCTCGTCTAGTTCCAATTATAAAGAACAACAGAAGGTTAATCTTAGACCTACCCGTACCGCATCTATGGATGCCGAAATCGAGAGACGTTCATCGGTAATGCTTTTCTTTAAATTTCCTAATCATTTAAGATTATAATGAATTAACACACAAAACTAAATAACACTATTATTCTTCTGACTGTTTGCTTTGTGATAACCTTAATCTAACTAAAACTTTTCCATAAGATGTAGTGCTATAGAGGTGGCAAAATATATTCTTTTAAATGAAAAATGTATAAATTTTATATTTATATATAAAAATCAAGTAAAATTGTAACTAAAATCTTCTATAATAACGTTCTTTTTCAATGTATAAACAAGGGTATAATAGAAATCTTAAAAGGGGAAAATTAAAAATTTCTTAAACTTTTATCACTTGTTTAAATAACGGGGATTGCTAACCCTTTAACTTTACAAATTACAAATTTTAAACTTTTTATGTTTCTTATAGAAACCGAAATCCTGTTTGATTTGGGCCTTTACGAATAATCCTAACGTTCCCAAAGTATACCCTTAAACTTCTAACATATTTCTCATTCAAACGCCGCCACCTCTCTATTCATTTTCAAAACCAAACTATTTTCGTATTTAGCCATTTATTAATCAACTAACAAACAATCTTTAATGAGTTGTTTATAAGTACTTGTTATTTTGTGTAGATTATATTATGTTGTTATTATTTCTTAACACTTTTCGTTGTTTATCACTACAACAAAATACTATTCAAAAAAAGTGTATGACGACTTTCAGTCATATAATCAAAACTTTGTACGTGTTTAAATAGACCCTTAAAACAATAATATAATAGAAATCAAAGTAGACTGCTGAGATACCATTAAATAATTTTATGGTAAAAAGATAATAATGTTAGTGATTTATCTATATTTTTTGAAAGTTTAAGTAATATTAGTTTATTGTTCTACTAAAAAAGATGAGAAACAAAATAGATTAGTAAAACATGATTAAAAATCAGACAAATTTTTCTCGGCAACATCTTCAACATGAACAAAATTTTCATTGAAAATCAATCAACAAATATCAAGGCTTACAATCTCATAATCCCAAAGATCGAAATTTTCATCAAAAATCAAAATTTTGTAAACAAGTTGTTTAACAAACATAAAACCTTCTCATTAAAAGTTTTAAATTTTCACACAAATTTTTTCACCTAATATATGAGTTTGACCTTTGAGCCCTACTAAATAAATTTTGAGTGAAGAATTCTTTAACAAAGTTCCCACATTCTTATTAAATTTTGGAATTATCACATCAATTCATATATGAGTTTGATCCCTCCCTATCTGTCTTAACAATTACTTATGTATTTTTCAACATGAACAGAATTTTTACTAAAAATCAAAAATTTTCACGAAAAATCACCTATGTCCAATAAAATTTAAAATTTCTATAAAAATTTCAAATTTTATTAAAAATTGAACTTTTAGACAAACCTGCATAATCGATATTTTAAAATCAAAATTTTCATTAAATATCAACTAATTTTCAATTAATACTAAAAAATTTTGGTGAAAAAATGAATCTACATTTTCATTAAAGTCAAAATTTCAAATTCTTTTATTTGAAAAATATGTATTTATTAGTTTGACCTTTGACCTCTATCAATTTCTCGCCACAAACGTTTTGTTCAATATTCAGTAATTTTACTACGAAATTTAATACAAAAACAATTTTAATACAAAAAAAAATTTAATACAAATGGAAATTTTTAGTACAAAATTCAAGTTTTAGTACAAAATTGCAAAATTTAGTTCAAAATTAAAAATTGAGTACAAAATTGAGAATTTGGTACAAAATTTAGAATTAAGTACAAATTGAAAATTATAAAATTAAGAATTTAGTAGAAAATGTGATTTAGTGCAAAATTAAAAATTTAGTACAAAATTTAAAATTTAGTACAATATTGAAAACTAAGTACAAAATTTAAAATTTAGTACAATATTGAAAATTAAGTACAATATTGAAAATTAATTACAAAATTGAAAATTTATTACAAATTTGAAAAGTTTGTACAAAATTGAAAATTTAGTACAAAATTAAGTACAAAAAAATTAAGTACAAAATTGAAAATTAAGTACAAAATTGGGAATTTGTTACAAAAGTGAAACTTAAAAAATTAAGAATTTAGTAAAAATTTTAAATTTAGTGCATAATTAAAAATTAGTACGAAATTAAAATTTTAGTACAAAATTAAAAATTTAGTACAAAATTGAAAATTTAGTGCAAAATTGAAAATTTAGTACATAATTGAAAATTTAGTACAAAATTGAAAATTTAGTACAAAATTAAAAACTTAGTACAAAATTGAAAATTTTTTAGTACATAATTGAAAATTAAGTACAAAATTGAAAATTAAGTACAAAATTGGGAATTTGTTACAAAAGTGAAACTTAAAAAATTAAGAATTTAGTAAAAATTTTAAATTTAGTGCATAATTAAAAATTAGTACGAAATTCAAATTTTAGTACAAAATTAAAAATTTAGTACAAAATTGAAAATTTAGTACAAAATTGAAAATTTAGTACAAAATTGAAAATTTAGTACAAAATTGAAAATTTAGTACAAAATTTAAAATTTAGTACAAAATTAAAAACTTAGTACAAAATTGAAAATTTAGTACAAAATTGAAAATTTACTACAAAATTAAAAATTTAGTACAAAATTTAAAATTTAGTACAAAATTGAAAATTTAGTACAAAATTGAAAATTTAGTACAAAATTTAAAATTTAGTACAAAATTTTTACGAATTCAGAATTTAGTACAAATTTGAGAATTTAAAACAAAATTAAACTTATTTTTCCTTTTTATCCCTTATTTTTGTAGTTGCAATTATTGGATCATAGTAAACGTGACGACGAAGACGAAAGATCTCTGCGGCGCAGTACTATGGCAGCTTCACACTCTTCAGTAGCTGTTGCCTCATCGGGCAGTGGCAGTCATATGCTAGCTACTAGCAGCAGTATGGGCAATGTTTACAATGGCAATACACATGCCAACAGAGACTTTATAAATCATGAGTCCCTAACAACTGCAGCTCACTCGCCCACTTCGTCCAATGCGAATCATAAAAATATGGGTAGTAGTGGCGGTGGCGGCGGCAGTAGCAGTGGTGTAATGGGCAATCGTATTATAACCAACACCAATAGTCCCTGTCTAAATAATTTCCTCTTTCCCATACTCTCTGATGTGAGTTTTAAAATAAGAATTCATGAAAAGAAGAAAACGATTTTAATTTTATTTATTTCTTAATGATTACAGATACAACGTAAATATAGCAGTAATTCCAGTAAAAATATGAATGTTTTGGACATAGCCGATTTAAAATCGGTATTTGAATTGGCCGAACGCAGTCGTCCTGGCGTAAGTGATCTGTTTCTCAAAGAAATTATACACAAACTAGTACCAGGTTATTCGGAAACACGTATTAATAATATTATGGATAGAGCAATTAGGTGAGTTTTTATCATTTTGTTTTTATATTGTTGTGGTTTTAAGGAAAGTTTTTATTTTTAAATTGTTTGTTAGAGATATGCTGTTATCTCTTTATCTAGTCTTTAGTTTACTAATCTATTTTATTTGTTTTTTCTTTTATTTTCTTTTTAGAAACAAAAAGTAATTTCAAAGCCTCAACGTCTACTGTCTCTAGAGCTTGTTGTGGATTTTATGTTATTCCTTCTTTACGTTTTTTTTTTTTATAAATATATATATAAATAATATTTTTTCCTGTTAGTTTTTCACCCCTGTTATGTTAAATTATATTAAAAAAAAAGAACCCAAAACTTTCCTAACACTTCCACAATTTCCGTATTGTAAAAAAGAAATATTGAAAATTTATCTTGAAAAAAAAAAGAGAAAATTAAATTAAAATTTTAAATTCCCATAAAAAAACTAGTGTGCAAATTGCTAAAAAAAATACAGCAAATAAAAAATAGACAAAAAAGAAACCCACAAAATGAAACATTTAAACTCCCCTTAAAAATAAACCAATTGTCCTGTTAAATCTTAAAACAAATCCTGCAAATTAATATTAAATCTTGTAAAAGATTATTAACAGAAATATTTATTACTATACCATAGTTATCGTAAATTTAAACAACCATAACAAACAGAAAAAAAGTATAAACATTATTACAATAAAAACAACAATAAATTATTACTAACAAAATACAATTGCATAAAACCATTAACAAAAATGTGATCCTTCTTTTTTAACAAAGAAACGATCACTTTTTTCTTTTTTGGACATAATGATTGATTTGTAATGTAGAAAAACATATTGAATGATTAAGAAATAGTACAGAAATCAAACAAACTATCTATATCTATAAACAAGAAAACAACAACAAAACACACACATACACAATGTTATTAGACTTAAACAAGAAAATTAATATATATAATATAAAAAAAAATCATAAAACAATAAAAAAAACAAATAAATATATACATACATATATAAACTGTGGGTCTAGTATTTATTTAAGCGGAACAGGTGGGATACCAATTCTCATTCGAATTGCAATTTAGTACTAAATATTGAAATTGGTCTAAATTTTCAGTTTTTTGCTATATTTATCGTTGTTTAGTAAATTTGCAATTTTGTACTAAATCTTAAATTTTGTACTAAAATTTTAATTTTGTACTAAAATTTGATTTTTGTACTAAAATTTTAATTTTGTACTAAAATTTTAATATTGTATTAAAATTTTAATTTTGTACTAAACCTGAAAATTTGTACGAAATTTTCAATTTTGTACGAAATGTTCAATTTTGTACTAAATTTCCCATTTTATACTAAATTTTCAGAAAATTTTGTACTAAATGTTCTATTTTGTATTAAATTTTCAATTTTGTATTAAATTTTTAAATTTTCTATTTTGTATTAAATTTTCTATTTTGTATTAAATTTTCAATTTTGTATTAAATTTTTAAATTTTGTACTAAATTTCAATTTTGTACTAAATGTTTAATTTTGTACTAAAATTTAAATTTTGTTCTAAAATTTCAACTTTGTACTGAAATTTCAATTTTGTATCAAAATTTCTATTTTGAACCAAATTTTAAATTTTGTACTAAATTTGAATTTCTGCTCTAAAATTTCCATTTGCATCAAATTCTCAATTTTGGATTAAATTTATAATTTCGTACTAAATCGCAATTTGTACTAAATGTCATATTAATCAAAATTTTGTGCTAAATTCTCAATTTGGTACTGATTTAATTTTCAATTTTCCCAATTTTGTACTAAATCCTCATTATATTTCTCTATGTGGAACTAAAATTTCCAACATTTCTTAAAAGTACAATTTCTTCTTCCACTTCTTCCCTGAAAAGTAAATATTATTAAGTCATGAGGTGTTAGAGGAACCCAGAGAAATTGTATCGATTCTGTCGGCCTCAAGCATAGTATATTTTACTGAGCAATTCAAAATAGACCAAAGATTTGAGATATTCAGTCAAAACTTGTTCTATTTATTTGTGTGGTCGAATTAGTTCATAATCTAAAAGAAGAAATAACAATTCTGAGAATTTAAGTTTGAAATAGATTCCGCTAGTTAGAAAATTGTTTGGTTTAGGCAGTTACAACAACAACACATGATCAGACTTGGGTGCCTCCAGTAGGTTTGTTTTGAAATCTCAAATTTCTTGAGACTTCTTCCTTAAAAAGTAGATATTATTAAGTCATCAGTTGTTAAAGGACGCTTAAGAAATTGTGCTGATTCAGTAAGTCTCAAGTATAGTACGATGCCATTCAAGTTAGACCAAAGATTTTAGATATTCAGTCATAACTTGATCTATTTGTGTGGTCGAATTAGTTCATAACCCAGCAAAAAAGGGTGGAAAAAGAAGTAGAATTTTCATAGATTTGGCTGCTACCAGTCCCTCAGTTCGTAGGTCATGGTTTCGTAGAGAACATAACAGACCTTCGGATCTAATGTAACTACATTACATTAAACTATAAACTCTAAGCAGATAGTTGGTTGGCCTGACGTCAAATCTTTTTGGCCCAAATTCATTATTCATAATTTCATCATTTAATGAACATATTTACACTGTACAACGTGTAGTACCTGCATGTGTATATCAAGACATGTTGCTAATCTATTGAAAACTAAATAATAAATTTAATACAAATTTGTTTATCTTTAAATAAAAAACATGTGTATTTTTTCTTTATTTAAAATTTTCTTAAACATTTTTTTCATTTCTTTGTAAACACTATTTGTACAAAATGCGGTAGTATTTAACACGTGGAATACTTTTCTAACTTAACTTTAAACTAATAGTCTTTCAATTTCTTGCTGGATTGAAGTGATTTGAGACTTCAATTGAGAACCCTCATTGGTGGTCACAGAGCAAGCGACAATGGGGCGAGAAACACCACAGGCGCGGCCCAAAGCCTGCTTGGAACGGACGAAAATGTAGGGAACATTCTTATCTTCACACAACAAAGGTAAATGCAAAAGAATTTCAATGGGTTCGGTATCAGCAGCCATGACAATGATATCGGCCAAACCACGATTCAAAGTTTTGGTGGCTTCGTTGGCACCCTTGCGCAACTGGTTGTAGTTCAAGGCCTGTTGCAATAGGTTCATAATCTTAGCGGTCAATTGGGCATCAGCCAAGGGGAAAGCTTTGGAGTTAACTTCTTCGGTCTATAAGAAATTAAGGAAAGATTTGAGGGTTAAGAAAATCAAAATGTTAACAAAAAATGTTTGTTTAAAAACTTACCATGTTGTTAATTTAGTTTTTAGGAGTTTTTTTAAGTAAATTTGTTATTTTTGTAAAATAAACTTTAGAGAAACCTCTCTGCTTGCTGCTTCACTGAGGATCTTTTGGGAAATACGCATGAAAAACGAAAACGTTTTCTAAAAAACAAATACACGTGTTCAGAGCCCTGCGCTGACAAATATTAACGGCGGCGGCGACTGACACTAAATATGTCGGCGGCGGCTTAAAATCTACTGTAAGCCGGCTAAGTTTTCAACTACGTTTAGTTTTTAAATTTTCAACGATTTTAAATAAAAACGGAATCCGAGAGATCAGAAAGTGGGATTTTGGAAGCAAATATATTGTTTATAACAACAAAACGTATCAAGCTCAAAAGTTGTGTGAGAAATTATGCAGGGATGAATAAAAAATTCTTCAAAATTAAAAACAAATACTTTCTCCAAGTTTTACGTGGATCTGCCGATATTTAACCCTATCCTCCATATAAAACGTAAAAACAAAGATATTTTATTTGTTTATTTACTAGCTATACCCAGTGTGCTGTGCTACCCTAAAAGCAATATAAATAAGAAATCCAGTCAACGATTTTGATGATTCTAACTACAATGTTTTTCCAGGTATACAATTTGTTACATATGGGAGATTCCACGCAAATTATTGCAATTTCTCTAAATGTTCTTCAGTAAAATTTGAAGATTCTAGCTCTAATAGTTTCTCAGATATACGAATTTTTCTATTTAATTCATATGGGAGCTCCAAGCCCCCCAGATGAAAGTCCGCCCTTTTTTCTCCAAAATGTTCAGATGAATATTAATGTTTTTGAATGTTCTCTGGTTTAAAAGTTACATGGGGTGCAAAAGAAGTAATAAATTACAGTTTTTAATCGTTTAGCACCAATATTTTGCCCAAACAACATCTACATACCTAGCCAGGTAAGGATATATCCTCTAGGTCCGTGAAGACATTCTCTACAAAGCTATAAATTTGTATAAAAGGCGGCTTAACAATTGTTTCTTGTAAATATTCGGCCACCATAGTGTTTGGAGGCAACAAGAGCTTCACTGAAAGGCACACCAGGCAGACATCGCGCTCTATTATGGGTGTATGGTAGTGATTCTGCTGAGATCAATGGTATAATAATAAATATGTATCCCAAGGATACCCCTTGAATACGGCAATCAGCTTCCGTCCATTGCCTCTAGGTGATAATATACCATGTCACCACTAGCCGACCGACCACCACCCGCCTAGGCAACCAGGAAGGTATATAATTGCCACTCTCTTGTGGGCATTCTTCCAGGAGACCATCATGATGCCTCATCTTTCTTGAAAATAAAGACGTTCTTTATAGACCAATAAATAATTAATTAACACCATTACTTCCAAATACGCCAAATCTTCTAGCCGCCTGGAAAAACATTTTCATCATAGTCATTAACAATTTATCTAAATTAAACCAAACACTTGCTGTTTCTTTACACAATGACCCTCGGTATAGTAGTATAGCAATCTTATTAATTTCAATTGTTAGTAAAAAAAACTATTTTTTTATTTAAAGAATATCATTTCTGTCATTTTAGATTTTTGCACACACACAACAGCAGATTTTTTTTTTTTTTTCAAATAAAAAATGCAGAAAACAGTTTGGCGCGAAAAATTCTAGCAGAATTTCTTTTCGCAGTCGGCAGAATTGACATCAACTGCACTTCCCATTTAAAATACACATGTTCGATATCCTAGGCCTTTACGGTATGACATACCAGTAATGTAAAAAGCTGTAGCTCCGTTGACGTCAACGAAGCTGGTTTGAAATAAAAGCAGCGACTCGAATTAGGCGCGTAAAGCACGAGAATATCTGAGGCGAAGAATATACATCGAACGTTGTAGAACACCGTCCAAATTTCAATGAGCGGCTTATTATTAGATAAAAGAAAACGTGCTTAAATGAAAACAAATTAATTTTATATTGTAAAATTCCATAAATTTGGCGAAAGTGTTCTGTAAATTGTACAAAATATGGCGAAATTTTCAAGCCGTATTAAGCGGAAAAATTTTCGGCGACGACGGCTTTGACATTTTGTTCGGCGGCTAGGCTTAGTCGGCTTAAGCCGAATCGGCGCAAGTCTCTGCACCAGAGATACAAGCCGATGGGAAATGATCGGCGGCGGCTAAATTGTCGGCTCAATTTAACTTTTTCTTTAGAAATTGACCTTATAAGGTTTATTATATTGAAAAATCTTTGTATAATAGTCTGTTACATAGAAACCTGTCTCTATATAAGTTTTTTTTCTGCAGAAAATGGACATTTATAGTAGTTTTCACTAATTTAATATTAGCACAATATTGTGTGGCAATTCTTTTCAATTTGCCATAAGAATTTGAAATAGTGGCAACTCCGTTCAATTTGGTGAAATTATGTTCTGAAATACATGTGTGATTATAATCTTTATCAGCGGCTACGCTTAAGCTGGCTTAGCTTTTGAGCCGAAAGAAGTCGGCGGCGGCGCGGCTTGCAAAATATTACCGGCGGCCAGCCGCCGCAGATTTGAGCCGTCTCGGCTTGTATCTCTGCTCTGCACGTCTTTTTATTTTTAGTTACTAACAAGAACTAGGCAACACTTTTTTCAAGAGATATATATATAAAAGTAAAGTGATATACAAAAGCTGCTTGCTATACAAAAACATACATCCCTGCTTTAGACAGGGTTGCATTTTCTTTTATTAGAATGTGTTGTAAAGAAAATTATGATAAATTTTTAGGGGAAATCGAATGAAGGAGAACTTCTTATCGTTTTTCTTTTCAGTTTTCTGTCTGTATTCCGAAGCTTGACATGTCGTAACGGGTTCGCGGATTTTTGTAAAGTGTAATAATTTTTTTTCTCCAACTAATAAAGATACAAGAAAAAAATAAATTTTCAATAGAAAAAGAAAATATAATTAAACTACAATTAATTACAAAACAAATTATTGTATTTAATTTTAAGTTGCAATATATAAGTCGCACATCATTTTTATATATACAAACAACAACTCAGTGAAATCTAATAAAATTTATTAAAAAGTAACAAGTTTAATTTATAACAAAAGTAAAAAAAAAAGGTTCGTACAAATTGGAAGAAACATTTTTGTGCTCTAATTGGATTTAAGTGGAATTTTTCTTCTTATACGAACAGAAAAAAAATCGATTATTCAATAGCAAATGCAAATAAAAATGAAAAAACGTAATACCACATAAAATTTAATGAAAATATTGTTAAAATTTTAGTAATAATAAAAATAAATTTCAATTAGTTTTTGAAAGAAAAAAGAAAATTTTGTGTAGAAAAAAAATCGAGGCTAAATTAGTTGAAAAATGTGTACATAGCGAAAATATAATGAACATAAAAAAATGATAATCATGCACATACACACACATACATACAAACTTCCTTTACGCAGTCATTCGTTTAGAAAAAAATCGTAATAAAACGAGTACGAGAATAAAATGAAAAAAGAACAAGCAACAGCCACAAAAGTAATAAAATAATAAAAAAATATATATTAACTGCTAAATAATACAAACAAGTGTTTGCAAAGAAAATCAAATGATAAAAATATAACAAAATGTAAAAAATTAGTTTTATTACGAAATCTAAACAAAAGCTTTTAAGGGAAAATTTTATTTTTTTTTTACATTTGGCGCAATAATAAAATAACTGTAGTTTATTGATCAGCTGTTTTGTAAAAAAAAGTTAATGTATCAAAATCAATAGAATAAAATAGGGTTCTATAAATTGATTTACGAATAATCGTCATTTTGTAGAAAAGTCGAAGTCGAATTCTAAATAAGTCGAAGAAATAAATAAAGTTGAAAATTTTTGGAAAAGCTGACAATTATAAAAGTCGGATAAAGTCTTATTAAAAAAAGTTTTAAATGTCGTAAAATCTACTTCTCGTAAATTAAAACAGTCGAAAAATTGTCGTTTTTTATGATTATAGTTATTAAATGTTTTTTCTTAGAATTCAAATAAAAAATTTTGTTTATTCATAAAAACTAGTTACATAACATTTTTGTTACATTTTTATAAACTTTAATTATAAATTTAGTAACGATTTCTTTTGTAAAAATATTAAAATTTAACGAAAGTTTTGCATAACAATTTCTGCTACTTTTTTCGTACTTTTTCTCGTCTAACTAGCAACATTGACATCACTTAACTAAGAATGACAAGTGTGTAAAGAAGAAAAAAATGTGTGAGCAAAATTAGTTTGTGTGGAAGTGTGTGTGTATGTAACAAAAAATGTAAACTACAAAAATAAACACTTGTTCATTCTACAACAACAACAAAACAAAAAGAGAAACAAAGATTGACTAATTGGAAACTGCAATTTACTTGACATTTCTGTTTATTGGAATGAAAAAAAAAACAACAACAAAAATAATCAAAGAAAATTATTCATAATCTTATTTCTTTTTTTTTTTCTGTTCTCATTATAGTTAAAATTAAAATTGCAAAATTATAAAACAGTGTTTAAAATAAATTAAATAATAAGCTAAAAAGTGTAAAAAAATTAAAGAAAGAATCTTCCTTAAAAACGAAAAAAAAAAAAACACAATAACATATAACTTATATCCGCCTGAAAATTGCTATAATTTATAATAGTTCTCAAAAGCAGCGTTTGTCCTCCCTACGCTGTTGTCAAAAAAAGAAAAAAGCCAAAAAACTATTAAAAAATCAATAATTTTGCTTCTCGAGGTTTTTTGAAAAATTTCCAAAATTGCGAAACATATTTTAAGCTTTTTAAAAAAGAAAAAAACTCCTCAAACATCTAGTGCAGCGGGCGAGGACAATACAAAGAGCACACAGCAGCAGGAGTCGTCCACACAGCTAGCCAAGCAGCTTGAGCCAAGCAGTCCAGGCGCGTCGTCTAGCAAATCGTCGCCATCGCTGACGGCCAATAAATTGGACTCTGCCACTGCTCGGCCGCAGGCATCGTCCACTTCACCCTCTCAATCATCGTCGTCGTTGCTGCAGCAAAAATCCAGCAAAATAACTCCGCCTACAGGTGCACACTCCGCCTCAACTTCGTCACTTACTAACGCCCAGGCAGCAAACGCCAGCGATAGTTCGGACGCCCCTCAAGTGTCTGCCACAGCAACCTTTCGTCTATCAGCGCTTACCGGTACCATCTCGAAAATGGGTAACAACGCCACGACATCCAACAAGAAGGTTGATGCTGCCGAAACCGTCAAGGAGTTTCTCGAACAGGCCAAAGAAGAATTTGAAGAGAAATGGCGCCGCAATCCCACAAATACCGCCTGTCTCGATGACTTCGAACGCATCAAGACCTTGGGTACGGGCTCTTTTGGTCGCGTCATGATAGTACAACACAAGCCGACAAAAGACTATTACGCCATGAAAATACTCGACAAGCAGAAGGTCGTCAAACTAAAGCAGGTCGAACACACACTCAACGAGAAGCGTATTCTGCAGGCCATACAATTTCCCTTCTTGGTTTCCCTACGCTATCATTTTAAGGACAACTCCAACCTCTACATGGTGCTGGAGTATGTACCCGGCGGTGAGATGTTCTCGCATCTGCGCAAAGTGGGTCGTTTCTCGGAGCCCCACTCGCGCTTCTACGCAGCCCAGATCGTACTCGCCTTTGAGTATTTGCACTATCTCGACTTGATATATCGTGACTTGAAGCCTGAGAATCTGCTTATCGACTCACAGGGCTACCTCAAGGTAACCGATTTTGGTTTTGCCAAACGTGTCAAGGGTCGCACTTGGACTCTTTGCGGCACACCCGAATACCTCGCCCCTGAGATTATTCTCTCGAAGGGCTATAACAAGGCCGTCGATTGGTGGGCCCTCGGTGTACTCGTCTATGAAATGGCCGCTGGCTATCCACCCTTCTTTGCCGATCAACCCATACAGATTTACGAGAAAATCGTATCGGGTAAAGTGCGTTTTCCCTCACACTTTGGCTCTGATCTAAAGGATCTGTTGCGCAACCTGTTGCAAGTGGATCTGACCAAACGCTATGGCAATTTGAAGGCCGGCGTTAACGATATTAAAAATCAGAAATGGTTTGCCTCCACAGATTGGATAGCGATCTTCCAGAAGAAAATTGAGGCACCATTTGTGCCACGGTGTAAAGGACCCGGTGATACCAGTAATTTCGATGATTACGAGGAAGAGGCGCTGCGGATCTCAAGCACCGAAAAGTGCGCCAAAGAGTTTGCTGAATTCTAATTGTATTCTTTTATTTATTATTATTATTATTATTGTTTCTTTACTAAAAAAACAACAAAACAAACCAAAACCAACGTACGTTCGTGCATTCTCATCACACCTGGTTGTTCGCCCCGCTCGTTCGTTCGCTCGCTCGTACGTCCGTCGTCGTCGTAGTTCGTAGTTTTGTGCATTAAAAAAAAAAAATAATAATAAAAATACGCGTTGCGTTCGTTTCATTGTTTCATTAACTATAAAACATAAAACTAAGCAAATAATAACAATTAATTAAAAATTACACCTAAAAACAAGAATTAGTAATAATTAAAAATGTGAAAAATAAACTTAATTATTTTCCGTTCGATCCGTTGGTAAATACAAAATAATAATAAAAATGTTTATAATAAATAAGAGAGACAAGTGTTTTTTTTAAAAAGTGTCGTTTAATTATTTTTTTATTTAAAAACTTTCGGTTCGGTTAACTAAATTCCTAGCATAAAGAATCTAGAACAAATTGAAAACATTAACACTTCCAAACAAATAAAAGAACTTTCACAACCGCCAAACATCAAACTGAATTTCATTATAACTACAACAGCTGGTTAACTCCAGTACTAATACTGGAGGTTTATTAAAGCTGCAGTGGGGATTAATATTATTAAACCCAAAATCTTGGATTAAACTTTTATCATCATTATCATCAACATTAAATTTAGCAGTTAAAGTCAAATTCAACCTCCTCAACGTCATTTATAACAGCCTTCATCAGCATTATCATCAATATATAACTATATGGTGAGTTTTTCCTATTAAATTCTAAATTCTATTTATACACTCCTTTCATTTATTTCATTTGCATGTATATTATTGTTGAACTTTTTAATATAATAATTACCATATTTATGTTTATAATTTGTTGGTGTCTTTGTAATAATTTTGTTGTATTTTTAATCATATTAATGTCATTTGTTTTATAATCCATTAATAGCTATTTGTGTGTTCACTTTTGTTTTATTGTATATTATTTTTGCTACTTTTGACTTTGATTACGCATTTGTAATTTATTGGATTGGTTAAGGGTAATAGCAATTTCGTTTAGTTTTTGTTTATAAGCAACAATATAGATCACTTTTGTGACTTGTTCCTAATATCCTTTAAATTATATCAAATTGTACATAATTTCATTAAACTTGTTTAATCGGTCCAATATCGCATATGTTGGACGACTTTTATCTTAGGAATTGTCTTTAAAGTAAATATTTTTCTGTCTGCAATGTTTTTTTCACCTTTTGCTCTCGTGAGAGCCTCATTTAGACCATTCTAGAGTGACTAAATATTGATTGAATCAAATAACTGACGGAATTTACTTGGAAAATGACAAATAATATGTTCACCTTAAAAATTCACGGTTTATTGTTCGTTATAGAATTCTTTAGTCTTTAGCGTATACAAAATGATAATACGTTTATTTTTTGGATTTTTCAACTTTGACTATGTTTAGAACCTATGACGTCTCTGCATATCTTGCCAGAGCGGATTTAGAATTTTCACACAAAAAGAGATTTATGCATAGAATGAATACATAACATCTCCTAATTCCTTAGTTTTCAAGTTATTTTGCAATATTTTGAACTGCTACTCAAAGTAACCGCTTATACGAAAGTTTCCTCAACACGAGATATGACAATCACGAACATGATCTTGAAAAGATCGATCATATCTCCTAGTATTTCTACTTTTTAGCAATGTCAGAAATCATTTTGTTTGTAACCACTATCATAACAGCCCCATTAAGACCTATGCCTATGCCATTCGTAAAGTAAAGTACCCATGGTAATGGATATACAACAGATCTATAAAGTTCTCGCTGTATATGGAATGTTTTAGTTAGTTCGTCTGTAATATTATATAGTTTTTTTTAGATTGACATGTTAAAAGAACAACTCTAGGTTCAAATGATTTGTCATCAACTTCCACTTTTGATCTTGTCTTATAGACAGCTGATATAAATTTGACAGCAGGTTCACTGTCATAACATATTGAGATGTTTCTAATGTAAATCTTAACAGTCTACTGTTGGGAGATTATTTGTAGACTTCAGGTCATGCAAATATGATCTTTAAAAGATCGATTAAATCTCCTAACAATACCAGCCATCAAAATGTTATGTTACTCGTAATGAATCTATAAAGTTCTTGTTATATATATAGTAGTAGATGTTTTTTTGTCAGTTCGTCTGTAATATTATTATAGGGTTCGTAAAAAATTCCACCAAATTCCTTCTACCTTTTGCAAATAGCTCCGTCCATGCTCAAGCTACGACCAAATTCTTCCTAAAACAACTCTTGTTCAATACTTCTTCTGCCAAAACTTTGCATCGCTCATAAATCTCTTCTAGTTACTGATCAAATTTGATCTATATAAGTTTTTTTGGAATAATATTATTTACTTTTACTGACAGTCTGTGGGGACCTCCCATATGAGATCTTCCGTAAATTTCTGATCGTTTGATCTTGCTCGCTTTTCCTTTTAAACATTTAATTGCTTTTAATTTGTTTACTTTAAATTATTTTAATTTTATTACACATATTATTTATATTTTTTTGTTAAATTTTTTTTTTATTATTTTTACTGAATAAAATCTAATTTAATTAATATAATTTAAGTTTTATTGTTTTATTTTGATTATCTTAATTGACAAGTAACATTAATTTCAATTTCAATTCCAATTAACATGCATTTATAGCTTTTTGATAGAATTGTTTAGTTTTTATTTAAATTAAAATGAAATGTGAAATTTTTAATCTGAATTTTAATAACAAAATGAATTTTGAAAGGGAATTTGAGAAAAACGAATTTCTCTTATAACTTACTCATAGTTAAGGCATAAGCCTAGATTATTAAGGGTCCTAGTGTTACTAGTCTTGTTTTACTGCTTTAAGAAAAGAAATTCTGGCAAAGTTACCGACCAATTAAGACTATTGAAAATAAACCGAAATCTTTTATCTCATTTTTTTCCAAAAAGTTGTTAAAAATATAAACACTTTCATTTATATTTATTTGATTTTTTTGCTCAACCCCTTTAACAACTGGTTTAAAACTTAAATCATATTTTTTTTTCGTTTAGTTTTCAGTTTAACGTTTTTTTTATAAATTTTTTTATTAATGTCTGTTTTTTTTATTTGTTAAACGAAACGCGTTTAGAATTTGTTATTAATTGCCAATTTCATTTGCTTGCTGATTTTTATTTCAATTTTATTATTACTTTATTATTATTTGTTGTTGTTTTTATTGTTATTTTATTTAATTTTTTTGGTTTGTTTTCAATATGTATTTATTTGTCTAAGTTTATTTGAGGGCACTGTTACAAGGTTTTTATTTAGTTTTTTTTTTATAAAATACTTGTTTTCATATTTGTTTGATTTGATAATACAAAAATCAACAAAAATGGTTTAAGTATGACTTAAATAAGTATTAAATATAGACAAATATGAAATTTTGCATTAAGCTATTGAAAGTAATTTTTATGGAGTACAGACACAGGAATTTAAAGGTATTACTTATAATTAAGGCAATGTGTGTTTAGGAAATATGAGTAGTTTAAACTTTAAAACTTGTAGAATTCTTTATCAGAATCAGAAGATGAATGGTTTTCGTTTATGTAATAGTCTTTCTTGTTGTACTAAAGTTAGATTGGTTCCTCGAATGACCCCCCAGAAGAACTGTTTTGCCAGCAAGACGTTAGTTAGTTATTTAGTTAGTTAGTTATTTAGTTAGTTAGATAGTTAGTTAGTTAGTTTAGTAAATTAGTTAGTTAGTTAGTTAGTAATTAGTTAGTTAGTTAGTTAGTAGTTAGTTAGTTAGTTAGTTAGTTCGTTAGTTAGTTAGTTAGTTAGTTAGTTAGTTAGTAGTAAGTTAGTTAGTTAGTTAGTTAGTTAGTTAGTTAGTTAGTAGTTAGTTGTTAGTTAGTTAGTTAGTTAGTTAGTAGTTAGTTAGTTAGTTAGTTAGTAGTTAGTTAGTTAGTTAGTTAGTTAGTTAGTAGTAGTTGTTAGTTAGTTAGTTAGTTAGTTAGTTAGTTAGTTAGTTAGTTAGTTAGTTAGTTAGTTAGTAGTAGTAGTAGTTAGTTAGTAGTTAGTTAGTAGTTAGTTAGTAGTTAGTTAGTTAGTTAGTTAGTTAGTAGTTAGTTAGTTAGTTAGTTAGTTAGGTAGTTAGTAAATTAGTTAGTTAGTTAGTTTTAGTAGTTAGTAGTTAGTTAGTTAGTAGTTAGTTAGTAGTTCGTTAGTTAGTTAGTTAGTTAGTTAGTTAGTTAGTTAGTTAGTTAGTTAGTTAGTTAGTAGTTAGTTAGTTAGTTAGTTAGTTAGTTTAAGTTAGTTAGTTAGGTAGTTAGTTAGTTAGTTAGTAGTTAGTTAGTTAGTTAGTTAGGTAGTTAGTTAGTAGTTAGTTAGTTAGTTAGTAAGTATTAGTAGTAGTTAGTTAGTAGTTAGTTAGTTAGTAGTAGTTAGTTAGTTAGTTAGTAGTTAGTTAGTTAGTTAGTTAGTTAGTTAGTTAGTTAGTTAGTTAGTAGTTAGTTAGTTAGTTAGTTAGTTAGTTAGTTAGTTATTTAGTTAGTTAGTAGTTAGTTAGTTAGTTAGTTAGTAGTTAGTTAGTTAGTTAGTTAGTTAGTTAGTTAGTTAGTTAGTTAGTAGTTAGTTAGTTAGTTTAGTTAGTTAGTTAGTTAGTAGTTGTAGTTAGTTAGTTAGTTAGTTAGTTAGTTAGTTAGTAGTTAGTTAGTTAGTTAGTTAGTAGTTAGTTAGTAGTTAGTAGTTAGTTAGTTAGTAGTTAGTTAGTTAGTTAGTTAGTTAGTTAGTAGTTAGTTAGTTAGTTAGTTAGTTAGTTAGTCGTTAGTTAGTTAGTAGTTAGTTAGTTAGTTAGTTAGTTAGTTAGTTAGTTACTAGTTAGTAGTTAGTTAGTTAGTTAGTAGTTAGTTAGTTAGTTAGTTAGTTAGTTAGTTAGTTAGTTAGTTAGTTAGTTAGTAGTTAGTTAGTTAGTTAGTAGTTAGTTAGTTAGTTAGTTAGTAGTTAGTTAGTTAGTTAGTTAGTTAGTTAGTTAGTTAGTTAGTTAGTTAGTTAGTTAGTAGTTAGTTAGTTAGTTAGTTAGTTAGGTAGTTAGTTAGTTAGTTAGTTAGTTAGTTAGTTAGTTAGTTAGTTAGTAGTTAGTTAGTTAGTTAGTTAGTAGTTAGTAGTTAGTTAGTTAGTTAGTAGTTAGTTAGTAGTAGTTAGTTAGTTAGTTAGTTAGTTAGTTAGTTAGTTAGTTAGTTAGTAGTTAGTTAGTTAGTTAGTTAGTTAGTTAGTTAGTTAGTTAGTTAGTTAGTTAGTAGTTAGTTAGTTAGTAGTTAGTTAGTTAGTTAGTTAGTTAGTTAGTTAGTAGTGTTAGTTAGTTAGTTTAGTTAGTAGTTAGTTAGTTAGTTAGTTAGTAGTTAGTTAGTTAGTTAGTTAGTTAGTTAGTAGTTAGTAGTTAGTTAGTAGTAGTTAGTTAGTTAGTTAGTAGTTAGTTAGTTAGTAGTTAGTTAGTTAGTTATTTTTGTTCTTTCTTTTCTTTTGTTGTTTTTTCTTAGTTGTAGTTTTTCGTTCTTTCTTTAGTGTTAGTTGTCTTTGTTAGTTAGTTTTCTTTTTTCTTTCGTTCTTTGTTTTTTCTTTCGTTTTTTTTGTTGTTTTAGTTAGTTTCGTTAGTTCGTGTTAGTTAGTAGTTATCTTTCTTGTTAGTTAGTTAGTTTCGTCTGTCTAGTTATAGTTCTAGTTAGTTTTCGTTCTTTGTTC